ACGATCCCAGATCGTCCTGGACGATCCCAGATCGTCCTGGACGATCCCAGATCGTCCTGGACGATCCTGGAGCAGATTTTGATATTACAATAATAGGGCAACTGACACACATAACTTCATTATCCTGCTCAAAGAAGAAACATTTTTAGTGATTTGGAAACCTCTTACGTTTAGATAGAAAAGTCCAACTGCAATTAGACAAGTCGAGCATGATAATCTTGCACCTTTACTGTCAATGCACATAACTTGATTCCCCAATCACTAACGTGGAAGAGATAATAATATCCTGATGAGAATTACCAAGCTCATGCACCTCCCAGGCAGTATCATTGGGACGAATTACTCGAATGACAACACTTATGGTGGGGATCTTGTAGCTAGTATGAATAACATGACAAGGGTTCCCATAAGTAAGATTGAAAGCAAAATGTCCCTTTTCAAATGGTCTGGGCAAGTTGATCTGCTCCCACTATGAGGGTTGAGAAGAAATAATGAGTTCTTATATTGTTTCTAACATACTTCTTCTTCATGACACATCAACAACCACTCTCCATAGTTGTACGAACATAAAACATCGAGGATGCAACGATCTGGATTGGAAAGGACGGGAATGCTAAACATAAGAGATTTGTTTTCATTGGCAGGAGGGATGTCATGTGAGTTAATTGAGTAACCTGACAACGAGAAAGAAATTTATTTATAGAGATCACAAATATGACCCATGCAACTTTATTTATGAAAGTAAGCATTTGTTATAAAAACTGTCGTCATTGTATTCAAAGAGCAAAATTAAATAAACCAAAACATTTTATTATTATTATTATTACTTTTTAAATAAACCAAAACATTTAAATGATAAGTAGATGCTTGTAATGATTTTTTTATAAACAATCTAAAATAGGATCAGCATAATAATTTTTTAGCATCACATAACAAAAAGAGGTAAATTATAAAGACCTTCGAGAAGATGCAAGCATGCAAAAGAGCATGCCCAATGTCTGAATCAGCCCGCAAAAAATATTTTTTTAACGTGGATTAATGTCTACAACTTTATCTAAATTTCAATAAATTTATACATGAATTAATAAAGACTCACAATGAAGTGTTAACGAATAATAACATGTAAAAAAAATCATTGGCCGCTGTGACATACAGGTATTAGTTGTTGTTTTTTTTACTAAAAATATGAGGTTTTCGGAGCATTTATTGGCAGTGGTTTGGAAACCGCCACTATAATATTAGCAGCCGCGAAAACAGCTGCAAAAAAATTATTAAAAATTTTAAAAATTTTGAAGTGGATTATAGCAGCTATTTTGCAAATCGCTACTTTGTAATTTAATTCCCGCCTTCCTCTGGGATTTTGCCGTACCGTAGCTCCCCTTGCGAAAAATAAAATTTGATCCCACCCTAGTTCCCACGTTCGTCTGGGTTTTCGGCGTCCGTTCGGCGGTAAAGGCAACATCAAGTTCCTCCGGCGAGCTGCCCAAGTATCAACTGCACGAATCAAGTTTCCAACGCTACTCTTCCTTTCCTCCTGGATCTTATCATGTGGCAGAACCCCCTTGAAGGTGAGATCCCCACCGATTTTGGATGTCTCTCTCTCTCTTCAGAAAACATTTTTCCGGCAAGATAATACCTTTCAATCTTAATTTCTGTAACATCTACTTGTTTTTAAAAAAATCATCTATGTTCAGGAAACAGGTTTGATTCCTTTTTTTTTTACCCGGATGTTACTCATAACTCCCTTCTTTAATGATTGCTAATCTTCTGTACGTTGTACTTTTAAAATCGTTTTCAATTCATGAAGAATCTTCCTTACCACTCCTATATGTTCGTCAATCACTAATTTAGTAACGTCAATCTAGGTCAGCGCTAGAACAAGTTAACTTGAATGCGATTCAATGCTAACATGACATACAAATTCTTCTCATTTTTGTTTATAAGCAGGTTCGGAATTTACTTACAGAGAATAATTCTCTTCAACTGGTAAGTTTAAAATTACTGGTTCATCCTGATTATTACTGTTAATTTCTGATAATCCATTCGATTTTATCCAAAGGCATTTTATATAATTGACACCATTTATTTGCAGCCCTCCAGGAAGGTGATGTACTTCTTTTGAATATAAATGTTTGAGTCCTTTTGAGACCAATATGACGTTAGAGATGAAGCCTCTTATGTTTCAGTACTTTCTTTCGAATTTATCTATCCTTGCTTCTTTAGATGAGCACTTCAATTTGGGAAAATTTTTGGGTCATTTTAGTTCTCAGAGTCATTGGATTTATTTTGAAATATTTGCAATATATAGGAAATTAATCACATTTTATATTACATTCAATTTCAAAACAAAGTCAATGATTTTGAGATCCATTATGTTTTAAAAGGTAATCAAATATCCTGTGCCATTTGGCTTGGCACCTCTAACAAATATAAGTGTCATAGAGAGTGAAGCAAAAGATATTCAAAGTTGAGCTTATATACTAGTGGACACATTCGTTAACTTTATCATGAGAATGAATGTCATTTGTTGAACTCTTCGATGTGATAATTAAGTTGCTGAAGCATCAAGAAACCATTGAAAATTTGATAGATGAAAATCCAAAGTTGCAAAAGGTTATCATTGAAGATCTAACAATTCCACCCGACAAGCTGCTGTGGGAGCAACAAAGCAGAAAAAAAAAAAAAAATAGAGAAGAATGACAACCGTGGGAGCAGGTTTCTGCACACCAGGTGTTTGTGTTGTTCCTCAAAGGAACAGGCACAACTTGACAAAGAAGAACAACAACCTGCAACTGGATAAAGTAGTAAGTATATGTATTATTTAATTTTTGTTCTTTATTTATGTAATTAAGTTTGCAACCTTTAAGCCTTTGTTGAACTAATATAATGCTACATGTTCAGTATTCAATTGGTGAATCTAAGGCATTCCTGACATGTCAATTAACATCGAAGTTTTGGACAGTAATTAGCAGGTTGGAGCCTATTCTTCTAGATAATGAACGTGCAGTCATACTTCTAAGGAAATCTTCAACAGATAATAGCACGTGGTTCCTTGAGGTTTCTTATCATCACTTTTTTCAAATATAATTTGTATATTTTACAAAGCTGATTCCTTCAGGATTTTAAATTCTAAACGTGCAAAGATAATTATAAACACTCTGTTTTAGGATTTTAAATTTATCACAATACTAATTCCAATTTTTTTTTGGTGGTTTCAGGGATTCATTAATCCATATTTCTTCCATGTTCTTCACCTACAATCAAAACTCAGATTGCTGAAAGTTATTCATTGTTATTGGATAAAGATTTGGAGAGATGATGGTTAAGCTTAAAAAAATTTTTCCATTAGAAAGCAAATTGTAGCATGCCATACATAGAGTGATGTACTCAGGTTGAGAAAAAATATTGTTTTATTTTTAGTTTGAATTCATGTTGATTTTGCGCAAAAATATATTAGATTAGTATTTTAGCCTGAATCAGCGTGCCTACTAGTTTTTCTTGCTTCTTTTTGTTTCTTTTTAATTTGTTCTTTTGTTGAATGGAAGAATGAAATGATAATGTAAAGAAAATTGCTTTTGATGTAGCAGTTTTTTTTTGTATTATATATATTTTTAATTTATATTATCCTTTAGCAGCGGTTTTAACACGTTCTAAAAGTGCTGCTATAGCTAGCCTTCCAACAGCAGCACTAATGAAACTG